CTTTTTTAAATGACACTTGTGACATATGACGGAGCTGGTTTCCTGAATCCTCTCCAACAGTGAATGTTATCAATTTAAAGATTTTGAGACCAGGTGGATTAAAAAATGACAGACATATTGTTTCTGTGGGGATTTTAAAAGAAGGAAGCTTTCTTTTAGTTTATATGCAAAAATACACATGCTCTTAGAGAAACATATGCATCTCCTGCCCTATATTCTGGGGTGCGTCATAATAGAGAACAATTTCCTTTCCTCTGGGAAGAACGAAAAAGAAAAGAGATACTAAGTCCTGACAGTCTGATAAGTGGGAAAAAATATGGTATTAAAGATAGGAGAACTAAAAATCCTAAAAGTTTAAATAAATGAAAGAGATCTCAAACCTGGTGAAAGTAATATTTACTTTGAGTGTCAGAGGTGTAAGGTTTTTGAAAGTATTTCACATGGTTTCTAAATTCAAACATTATTATCGTATCAATTAGATATATATTAACATAGAGAAGTGACAATGACATCAATGCAAGCATTCATTCAACCGAATGAGTATTTTTGAAAGTATAATGCTCTCTCAACAGCAGGTTAGAGAATACTTTAATTCTAATTTGATGGACTATTTTAGTGAAAATAGCAGGATTCTGTTCTCTCTGACTTTCATTCCTTTTAAAAAAAATTATTTTATTTGAGATAGAGTTAATTCATAATGTTATATTAATTTCTGCTATATAGCAAGGTTATTCAGTTATACACACAGATATATATATATATATTCCTTTTTTGTTTTCTATTATGGTTTATCACGGGATATTAAATATAGTTCCCTGTGCTATGTAAAAGGACCTTGTTGTTTATCAATTCTCTATATAATAGTTTGCATCTGCTAATTCCAAACCCCCAATCCACCCCTCCCCACCTTCCTTGTGGCAACCATAAGTCTGTTCTTTATGTCTCCGAGTCTGTTTCTGTTTCATAGATAAGTTCATTTGTGTCATATTTTAGATTCCACATTTAAGTTATATCATGCTGCTGCTGCTGCTAAATCGCTTCAGTCATGTTCGACTCTGTGCGACCCCATAGACGGCAGCATAGGGTATAACAAATGTCTTTCTCTGTCTGACTGAGTGTACTTAGTATGATGATCTCTAGGTTCACCCATGTTGATGCAGATGACATTACTCTGTTCTTGTTTATGGCTGAGTAGCGTTCTGTTGTGTATGTGTGTGTGTGTGTATAGACTTTTAGATTTTTAGGTTGCTTCCATGTCTTGGCTATTGTAAATGTGCAGTGAACTTTAGGGTGCGTGTGTCTTTTCAAATTATAGTTTTCTCCAGATATATGCCCAGGAGTGAGATTGGAGGATCATATGGCAACTCTGATTTTAGTTTTCCGAGGAACCTTCATAATGTTTTCCATAGTGACTATACCAATTTCCATTCCCACTATCAGAATAAGAGGATTCCCTTTTCACCACACTCTCCAGCCTTTGTTATTTGTAGACATTTTAATGATGACCACTCTGACTGGTATGAAGTATAGTTTTGATTTGCATTTTTCTAGTTATTAGCTATATTGAACATCTTCTCTTATGCCTATTGGCCATCTATATGCTATCTTTGGAGAAATGTCATTCATTCATTCTTCATATGGTAGCCATTGTTGATCTTGATACCTGTTGGAATTTTAAAAGTGCTGACTTTTTAATTTTGAAAATTGATGTGTCTTGCTTTATGAAACTGGTCAATTTAAGGTGAACATGGAAAACTGACCCTATCACTGTACTCTCCAACTAACCTCTATTCACCACTGGATCCAATAACTGCTTTTTTGAAGAAACATTGTGTCTTGAGTATATTTTAATGATGTTTCCTTGCAGAAAAATTTCACTCCCCCAAAGCACATTTTTTTCTAGAACATAGAGTAGGTCAGTTTCTGGCAGGGCCTTGGCATGCCAGGGTGCCGAGGGGGTGGGAGTTTGGGAAGTGGATGTCATTATACTGTTCTCTGAGGCAGTATCGCCCGAGGGCTTTGTCATCTGCACCCCCAGGGGCTCTACCTTCTTAAATTTAGAGACAGTTGAGGTATGTCCTGAGTTTAGCATGATTTATGCAGTGTGAATTTACTCTTGCAGGTTGTAAAAGGACTGATATGTCACTTACAAATCTCTATTCTTGGAAATGTCAAATTTATTGGTAGTAAAAATCACTATGATTATTCATTCCAGTGAGCTTCTGTGGGTACATTTACTCTTGTTCAAGGAATCTCAAATTTTTAAATTTCATAACTTATCTACCTGCCTCCCTCTCTCTCCTCCTACCCTATAAATTGCTGTTTCTGACCTGCGCTTCATAAACTTACCGCTTCCCTGAGGGGCACCTGAAAGAGAGAGTGTCTGGTAGATGAAGTACTGATCACCTGTTCCCACCCCACCCCACTCCTTATCTCTATCCTGCCTCTGGCAGAGCAATTTTTCCTTCCACATTTAACTTTCAAGGCAACTTTCAGTCGAAGAAAGACTTCTACCCATAGAAATACATTTGAAAACCATAGCGCTCCTGTCATGGAGTGTGTGTACTGTATATGTATCTCTTGATGTTCACATGTACAGAGATAAGATGGTCATTTTTATCACCTTACCCTGCACTGATCTATTAGGCCCAAATCCTAAGCAGTGCCATTCAAAACCCAACCTTTCTAATCACTGGAGTCCTAAGTAAGTCAGTATTTGAAGGAATGGTTGGAGAATTTGATGATCGGCCTCCATCACAGAGTCCAAACTTTAGTTTCTCTTTTTTCCTATCTACTTGTTCTTAATTTAGGAAAGCTTTCAGGGATGTGTGGATTTTGAATTTTTTTTTTTTCTTTTTGGATTGAAAAAACCACTGCATCATCCCAGGAGATAAGGTCTAATATGTTCAAACTGCTTCAAGAACTATGTGGGAGTTTTTTAACAGTGCAAATGATGTTTGTAATAATAATCTATTGTATTTATCCCTGGTACTTGCAGGGGAAATATTTAGCAATTAGTTCTATAAAAGTGTGGATTTTAAAGTAATAAAAAAATATATTCGGTTATAAAGATATTCTGTAACTGAACAGTCTCACTAGTGTTATGGACCTCTCCATCGCATTCTGTTACTGATCTTACTTCCTACGCAACAAGAAAATGTGCTTCCCCTGGCTTAGTGTGAACTTTGGAACCTCCATATTCTTGTTCAATTAGGAAGCAAGAGGTCATTCTTAGCACCTACATAGTAACCAGAAGACAGTCTTCTAAAAGTAGATTAGTGTGTACACTTAGTTCATAGCTTCATAGGTATGTAATACTGTATTTGCTAAAAATGAGAAATATCAGACAGTGATTATCCAGCCCAAATAATGAGTAAGAGGGTGGTTATTCCACCTTAGCTTTTATCCCCTTAATATGTGCCACCAGAAGTATTTAAATCACTGCTTCAGTTGGTTCTGTAAATATTTGTAAAGAGCCAGAGTGTTCCGAATATTTTTATTAGCAAGATTTCTAATAGATTTTTCAGCTTAATAAACAGTTCTTTTGAACTTCATTTTCTTGGCTTTGGGGGGTGTAGGGGAGTGTATAATTTTATAAGGACTAGAAATAAGGGTTTCTTGTTGAGCGGAGCTACCACCTGGTTATTGTTTCATCTGGACATATTTGCTGTTTATCATCTAATTCTCATCTCATCCATAAGTCTGCAAGAGCAGTGGTTCTCAACACCCTTCTGTTGGGAGTCAGGGCTCAGTAACAGTGGCTGAGTCAGCAGTGCTGGGGAGAGGTCACAGAGGGATTGCCGGAGACCCCCAGTGACTCTGCTCCAGGTCTCTCCTCTTTTGGAATCACTGCTCCTGAGCGCTCTGTACTGCCCTCCTGTCTCCTCATGTGTTGGATTAGATTTATGGGAGCTGCTGTCGACATGGTTGCCTAAATCTGTGGAATGTTTTGCTAAACGTTGCTGGTGAAATAGTCCACATGAAGTCTGTAACTCCCTCCAACATACACACCTTTTTTTTTTTTAAGAAAACTGTCTTCTATCCTTAGTCTTTTATTCACTTGATCACTTTATGATTTTTCACTTTGAAATCCTATAGATTCATTAAGAACTTTTATTCCAACCACTCAGGCTTTATTTAACATGGTGATTAGCCAAAGTGCTACTCTGCTTGAGCTAAGTGATGACAGTGTATTTGATTGGAGCCTTGTAATTATTATTTTAAAATCAAAGTAATAGATTATGATTTCAAAATAGGAACATGATCCAAAAGAATAATAGTAATTAGAACAGCAACCACTTAGAAGAAAGTAAATGCCCCCATCACAGACCACAGGGCCCTCTGTGTGGCCTGAGTCCCACCTACCTTTGCAGTTCCATTTCCCATCTCACTTCTTCCCCAACCCTGTGCCTTCCTACTGTCTGTCCCCCTGCCTTGCCTGGACTAGCTTCACTGTAGCCTTCCAGTTGAGAGAAGTAACTGGGCTCTCTCCTGCCTTGGGAATAACACCCTTTGTTCTCTCTACCTAAGGAGCTCCTCCACTAGTGTCTCCTGGGTTGGATCCTTTGAGTCTCACCCAGAGTCTTGTTTCCTTAGGAGGTTTCCCTGACCACAGTGACTGCAGTCATTCCCCCACCCTACTGCTTGTCCACATATAATCACATCATCATCTCTCACAGCATGCTATTTATTTCCTTCGACATATGGAAACCCAAGTTGTGTGTTCCTGGTACTTGTCTGTCTCCCCCCACTGGACTGCTAGCTCCATGAGCAGGGTGAAGACTATACCTGTCCCATTCACCACAGCAGCCTCACTTCCATTCTGGCACCTGGTGTTAAGTGGGTGCTCCAGACATGTTTGTGGTTGAATGAATGGAACGTTTTGAAGTCCTAAATTTTCCTGAACACATATCAAAATATTCTATACTGGGTACTTCTTTTATGATAACACATTATCTTCCAATGTTTGAATTTAACCAAGCTGTGCTGACTTTTCTCAGGCATATGAAGGATCAAAACAAGAAGGTGGCCAACCTGAAGCACAATCAACAGTTGGAAAAAAAGAAGAATGCCCAGTTACTGGAAGAAGTCCGCAGGCGAGAGGATAGCATGGCTGACAACTCTCAGCATTTGCAGGTGAGTCCAGCCTTCTCCTCTTAACCCTTAACTAATTGGAGATCAACTCCCTCCAAAATATACTCCTTGCTGTGGGAAAGCATGCGTGGAAATGGTGGATGTACCTTTGCTCTAAGTCCCGCACTAACCGTGTACTCCCAGTAGGTCTTTCTGAGTATGGAGCATAATTTTCAAAATAGTGCCCAAGAAAGGCAGGTTATGGTGGAACTTGCTCAATCTGCACACAGTCTCTCGGTTCCTGTGCCTCACCTTAGAAGGTAAGGGCTGCGGTTATAGAGTTGGCAAGAATCTTGAAACAGAAATGTCTTCCTTTTAGAATTATATTGAACTTGTTTTGGTGTCAGAAGTGAAATGTGTGGGTGTTATCACAGAAGGTATTTGGAAGAGGATGCATCAAACTAATTTCAGACATTTTACAGAACTGGTTTTGTTTTGTTCAAAACTCCAAGGCTCTGATCATTAGTCTGTCTTTTCTGTGGAATATAGTTATCTCTGAATAGATGGCCCTATCTCAGAAACCAACTGGCCGACTGAAAACACCAATTTTTCCTCATTAGCCATCCCTATTTTTGTTGAAAGAGCTCTCTCCATGTGCTCAATAAAACATTCAAACTAAAACAGGGCATTTGCTTTGAAGTTCCTTTATTTATTCCAGTGTGCCTTTAAACAGAACAGTTCAAGTTCTAGTTGGCCGGAGTTCATGTTAAATTCTGCTTATTAATTAGTGTCTTTCTCTAGTTATATATTAGGTTTCCTCCTTGGAGATAGAAGAAGTTAGATAATTTCAGTATGTACTCATAATTCTCTTTTTTAATTGACCAAAAGAGAAATAAGTAACTATTCCAGAGTAGGAAATACAAGGAAATGTCTTGCATAGAACATGTCACAAGGTGGTTACATAGTCAATATTAGTTTCTTTTTTCTCTGTGTTCTGGAGGTGCCCTGATGATGTCAATCAAGCCCCTGTACATTGATGCCTGATTTGGGTATCTTGATAGTAGCATCAAGTCCTTTGTTCACTCCTGGGATCATCTTAGGATGGACTAGTAGTTTATTTCAATCCATGGCTTCCTCAATGTTTTTGAGAAATCAGTCTCAGGGTTTTGGGTATTAGTTCTCCCATGAATCATATGAGATGTTATATTGGAACCTACAAATTGAGATAATTACTAAAATTTGCAGAACTGTATTGCCTTGTCAGATGTGTATTCTTATTCATACCTTACAATAATGTTGGTGATTTTATATATGGTAATACTAGAGTTTCAGAAAAGGTATGAAGTAGCATCCTAGTAAGTTGTAGACATGGAACTGACTTCAAGTCTTCCTGCCTTCAAGAAACAAATGGAGAGAAACAGTAGCAGTAGTGGATTCCATTTATTAACTTTTCAGTATTCTGTGTATTGGTTCTGTCAGCTGGGTTTGTTGGGGCTCTTATTTCCAAGTCATAGGAACACAACAAGTTGAACTAAGAAGGATAAAGGGACTCTGTTGGCTCAGTAAACTAGGAATAGACCCCGGATCTTACAACATGAAGGTATTCAAGCAATAGCATCAGGAATCTGTCTTCATTCTACTCACAGGCGTGCTCTGCTCTTGGTTGCCTTGATTCTCAGGAAGGCTGTTCCACAGTGATGCCAACTATGGCTACCAGCATTCAGCCTACATTCTACAAGTGCAGTCACCCCAGGGGGAGGAGAAAGGTTCTTTCTGAGTAGTTCTAGCAGAAATCCGAAGGTGGATAGAATTAATAAATTGACCAGGCCATGATCAAGTTATATGGTTACCTGGAGTCTAGAGAAAAAGTGTCAACCTCACCCAAGTCACATGGTCTGAGATTGAGGACAGGTAATCCCTCACACAAAAGAGGGTTCTGCTCAGAAGGGATGCTGGGCAAATAAAATCGCAGAGATCCATTATAACCATAGTATGGGGTAGATTAACTGCTATCCCATTTGATATATGAGAAGGAGGAGGAGGCCCTAAATTATTCAGCTACTAAGTGGCAGAGTTGGGACATAAATCCAGATCTGACTGTCTTCAAGTAGTGAGAGTTCTAATTAAGAGAGGAAGGCAAGAAGACTGTGGAGTGGCAGAGAGACTTCATGAAACAGGTGGGATTGGAGCTAAGTTTGACATGGAAGGGATGGGGCAGTAGGGCAGGCTCACCACACAGGAGAGCTGTCAGAGGATGTACAGAGGCTGCATAGCGCAAAACATAACAAACCAGTCGGTCATGGTGACACAGAGATTAAGTGTTGTTATTACCTTCCTTAGCTGACTCTGGAGCTAGAATGCCTAAGTTTCAAGCTTCCAAATTTACCAACTGAATGTTCTTAGCAGGTTATTTCACTAAGCCTCAGTTTCTTCATCTGTAAAATGCATATGATCTTTGCACCTACTCCAGAGTTACTGTGAGGACTAAAGAGCCAACGCATGTAAAGAATTTAGAACTGTGCTTGGCACAAGCTGTACTTAAAATAAGTGTTAGTGATTGACTGTTTTTATATTGGGTTGTCAGAAAGTTCATTCAGGTTTTTCCATAAGAGGTTATGAAACAGGAAAAGATAAAAGAAGCATTTTTAAGAATATGTATTATGTATGTGGGTATTTGTGCAGTTCTGCTATGATATGCATTGAGCATCAAAGTTTCTGTTTTTTTCTATGTATAGTTTTTTTTTCTTTTCTAAGGACATGTCTAGTTATGGAAATTAATGTCTTGTTTTGGCCCATGAACTTTTGTATAGCAATATTTTCATAAGGGGCCTTGATAACTACCTCATAGGCATATTCATAAAAGATAGCATGCTCTGGAATTGCTTAGTTGCATTCCTGACCACCCCAAATAAAGGATAGCATTTGAAATGCAATAAAAAGTAATCACGATTAATTTTGATGAAAATGTCTCTGGTTAAGGTTAATAGAGAGTGAAACTCCCACTTTCCTGGATTGTGAAGCAGATGTACTCAGATGCAGTAATTACTGCCTTCTGAAGACAGAACTTTTCTTTCTGGGGGCACTTGATTTTTTAGTTTTACTGTTGTTTTAGGTACTTCCTGTTTGTAAGTTAGCCTGCTAATCCCTTTAAGTTTCATTCAGTTGGGATCTGGTTTCGATGGCCGGTTGGTTGATTGGTTGGTAGATGTTAAGTTTGGCACCTACTAATGCTGGAGGGATTGAGGGCAGGAGGAGAAGAGGACGACAGGGGATGAGATGGTTGGATGGCATCACCAACTTGATGGACATGAGTTTGAGTAAACTCCAGGAGTTGGTGATGGACAGGGAGGCCTGGTGTGCTGCGATTCATGGGGTTGCAAGGAGTCGGACGCGACTGAACTGAACTGAACTGACTGAAACTTGATTTATTCTACACCAGCATTTTGTAATGTTTCAACACTCTGACTTCATGATTTTGACCAACCAAATAGGTATTATATCCAGAAAAATCTTAGGTAAAAGTACTGCCTGCAACAGTAATAGCTGTTGGATCAGACTCAAAAAAGAGATCAAAGAGATTCATCCAGTTGGTATGAAAATCAGAGACAAATTTGGATGTAGATAACATGACCATGTTATTTATTATCCAAACCAGGAGAGAAGCAAAAACTGGACCATTTCAGTCAAACCTAGAATTGCAGTCATATTAAGAAAGATTTCACAAACTCACCCTTCTTTAGTTCTTAAGTTTATGGTTTTATGGCAGGAATTGCAGGCTCAAGTGCCTTCAGGGTCTAGACTATTAATGTAAATAAGAAACAAGTTTGCATGTAGGAAAACTTATGATGTCTGATTCTTTCAGCTTTTTTTTTTTTTTTGGTAGAGATGTATCAGTTAGCAAGTGCCACAATAATGCTGTGTAGCAAATCACCCCCAAGCTCAGTGACTTTAAAGAATTAATAGTTATTCTCACAGATTTTTAGGTAGACAAAGTAGCTCAGCTGCTCCAGAGTGAGCTAGGGGGGTACGTCTGTTGCTCACTCAGTTTTGTGGGTGACTGGATAGCTCCGTTCCACATGGGTTTGTTCTGATTCTCAGGCTGAAGGGGCATCAGTAACCCAAGGAAAACTTTCTATGACAGTAGCAGAGACACAAGACAGAAAGCCGAAACATGCTATGTCTGTCTCATAAGGCCTAGTCTTAAACTAACACTGATTTTTCACCCCACTTCAAGTCACATGGGTAAGCTCATAGTCAAGGTTTGGTGAAGTACCCTCTGTCCAAGAAGAGAACATTGTAAAGAAGTAGATATAAGTTTTAAGGAAGGGTGAAGAATTGAGACCAGCCATTCAATCTGTTAAAAAGAGATAAGGTTTGGAAAAATATTCCTTTATTATAAGAAAAACAATAACATAAATATAATGGAAAATTGAAGCTGCAATAGCTTTAGTCTATGGATGTAATTGAGAGTGCTGGGGACTGTAGGGAACTCCAGAACTCATGCCTCATTGAAAGGAGTTGGGACCACGAAGCTTTGGTTAAATAGATGTTGCCATTAGGGTGGGTTAGGGTTGAGGGACCTTATGATTGCCATAAAAATGTAAAATCTTATGTGAAATCCATGGATTTTAGAAAATCGGTTCAATTTTTTAAAGCACTCTGTGGGTCCAGTGAAGCAAATGTGTTGGTGAATTGAGTGTTGGTTTGCAGCCTCTATTGCACAGGCTCATGCTCTGATCCCACTGGTTTCATGTGATATCAGTAGAGATTAAGAATGTACACTAACTAGCTTAGCCTGACCCATTGAAGAGAGATGGCAGTTTAGTGTATTTATGTTTTTTTTCCTTGTTGTTGTTATTAGAAAATACCTTGAGTAGCTTGAATTATTGTTCCTCAGAGGAGATACCCACAATATATAGGAATAGAGAGTATTCTTTATTTAAATTCTTTTAAGTTTTTTTTTGAGAATTGGCAAAGAGAGCAGGAAGGGGGAGATAAAGAGCCATGGAGTTGAACTGTCCAGTGTTAAAATAGTGGCCCTTACTATTTTTAGTGCAGGACCT